ACCGCGTCCGTGACAAAACGGAGTACGGGGCCTATTACCTCGAAAACCTTCACGGTGAACAACTAGCTCGACCATGGAACGCCGCGAAACTTAAGCGGTACTACAGTTAGAACATTGCCCGCGACGACCCATCGTCCCGGCCACTGGAGGAGGGGCATGGTACCACCGCACTCCCACGCGTCCACTAGCGACTAGAGAAAGCAAGCCCTGCCTCTTGTGTGCCCGGGCAGACGACCTCGCTCGGCAGGGAACACCACGACCGAGATTCCCCGCCGCCGTACCAAAATCGGCAAGACACCCAGCTCGCGATGGGACGTCCACGCCACAGGGAGAACTACCCCCGAAACGGCCCGGCCACACCGCCAGCCAAACCTGCCGGTTCCCTTCACCACCGGTGACAAGTTTGTCGATCTAACACCCGGACAGGCCCAGGGCATATTGAAGCATGCACATCAAACATCATTCAAGCAAACAAATAAATACGAAAAAAACGAGCATAAACATCATGCAAATACCGAGCGCACACTTAGAAAATTCACAAAAATATATTAAGCAAAAGCGGGCACCAGCCCAGTAGTTAATATTACACAACCGGGGCGCGCAGGCCCAAAGAAAAACAGGTTATAAAATGTCGGCACGCAGGCCATAAAAACAACGAGCACGCAGGCCCGGGAACCTATGCCACTTTGCCCTCCTGATCAGCAACCACGGGGACCTCCTCGGGAACTACAAGCTCGGGGTCGACCACCTTCCCGTCGACGATCTCATGATACGGCCCGATCCCATCCACGACCAACGCGACGCCGGGGTTGACAACTTGGAACTGCGTGACAGCGCTCTTGAACCCGACCTCGACAGCCTCCAAACAATCACCTTCCAGCACCCGAATCCGGGCAACCAGATTAGCACGGGTGATCAACCGCTGGTCCTCCTCTGTCTCTTCCCCGGCCGGACGAAGTGCGTTGTCCAGGACTTCCATACGAACCTTCAGCGCCTGCACCTCGGCCGTTGTCGCCCCCAGCTTCTCCTCCAGCGAGGTCACTTTCCCTTCAGCGCCCTCCGCTCGTTTGCGTTGGTCAGCAACATCTTTCTGACTCTTCTCCAGTTCCTCAGTAAGCTTGGCCAGACGCGACTGCATAAAGGTAAGGTCCCCCTGCAATTTGGACAACTCAGCGGCGGAGCAGCCCTCCTCGTTCAGCACAAGGGCCGTCGTGAACGTCCGCATCATCGCGGCCAAATCCTCCGCCAGGATACGTCGACGAGACTCTCGATCGGCTTCACGGACAACCTTCACCTCCCCAGCAGAGACGGTAGGAGATCGGGCACCATGAAAATAGCCCGGATGCTGATGGCAAGGCGGGACGACGTAACCCTCCTCAGCCGAGCCGACCGTCAGATCAATCAAACCGTTGAGCTCCTCGGATCTCGGCCTCTTCGCTGCTCCCTGAGATGTAGGAGACTGACTCCCTTGAGGTGAAGAAGACGAACTCTGGCCTCCCGGCGTCACAGCCTCCTGCCCGACCAATTGACTCACCCGCGTCTTCGGGACCACGACGTTCTTTGAAGCGCGCAGCTTCTTCACTCGCTCCTCGACAGAAGACATGTTCGCTGCAAAAACAAAGAAAGAGTTAGCAACAGCCAGAACACCCGATCATGGGGAAAAAAGAAACATCCCTACCTAGATAGTCCAGAGCGGCCGCCCCAGTGGCGCAACCGAGCAGGGTCTTAGTGTTAATCAGCCGCTTCTTGGTTCGCACATTCCCCTGCGCGTCGAAGATGTACCGACCATCGGGCGTCACCAGTTTCGACGGGGGAAGAGCCCGCACAAAGGCAACTATTTTCATATAAGCGGCCATATCCTTCTCGTCAAGGGTCCCCGCTCGTACGATATACCTGTCCGTGCCACGGTTGAAGTGCTCCGCGGTCCATAACAGATGTATCTTGGAAAGCCCCCGTCCTCGGGACATTCATCGGAACAACCAACTCTCCCCGGGGTATTCATCAGAAAACCGCCAAATACGGCGGATCTTGCGTCTCTCCTCGGGGCAGTCATCATACCCCGACCACACATTCTAATCAAACGGCGGAAATAAAGGGAGCAGGGAAATAAAAACTCACTTGTAACGGCGGCGAACAGGAGGAAGAACCAAACGGTGCGGCGGCAATCGACGGCAACGGCGGACGAGCAAGAATCCCAGAGCTTCGCAGGTAAGGCAGCAAAATGAAAAGTAGAAAAATGAGCGGGGACCCCCATATTTATAACCCGGTGCGGGATTCGAAGCGACGCTAGGCTCATTAATGGCCTAGGGTAGCCGCCCCTACGACCGCTTAACGCGCGACACGTGGCGGCAACCTGACAGTCGCGTCCCTTCACCTACTTTCACCCCGCTCCGCCGGCGACGGGAGACCCCCGCGCAAGCGCCCGTTCCACCGTGCACAAACCCGACAAACCTCCCGTTTTGCTACCTCTCTCCCCGACACAGCGACCTTAAGTCCTCGCTCTTTCCTAGAGCTTCGACTTGGGGGGCTCCTGTTCTGGTCTGGGCCGAACCTCGGTCCAGCCCAATACCACGCACGGCCTAATAAGTGAACTATCCCGACCGGGCACACGCGTCCTATAGGACGGGCAGGGCGCGCCCCCCAGGGATAGGTGACGCGTCCGACGGCATCTCAACGTCCTCTCTTATCGGCCGAACAGGGCACACCCCGGTCCGTCGAGCGAGACCTTTGGTTCCTCCACATCCTCGCGTTCCCCTCACGGAGAACAACGTGCCTCCGGGGAGCCTCCCGAGCTCCCCTCCGCGGGGAGAACAACGTGCCCGGCGCACGTTCTCCACGTGCTCCCCTCCGCGGGGACACATCATCTCTCAACTGCCCACCTCCGAAAGAGCAGGTCAAACCCACTTTCCGGAGATCGCGGGACAGTTGGACTAGGGCGAAGACCACGTTCTGGTCTTCTCTACGCCACGTAAGCCCTAACAGTCATTAGGGTTGGGCCTGGTCATCCAGCCCACCTCAAATGACCGTTGGCCCAGCGCTGGGGTCTCTCTATAAATACCCTCTTCCTCAAGAGGGTCAGGTAACACACTTCTTACCCCTCTTTCTGTACTTCGCCATCGCTCTACCCAACTTCTCACTTTGGCATCGGAGTGTTTTGCAGGTACACCCCCCTTCTCTTCCTCATCACCGGCGAGTAAGCAGCAGTCCAACAGCGTGTGGCCAGCCCGTGATCCCCTTCTGATCAGGTCAGATCAATATAAGAGTCTATATGATGTAAACAGTGAGACAATCAGATGTTAATATTTTATGCACCGTGATGTTTTATGCAATGTATTTGTTATCATTGTTTGTCTTTTGTAAATTTTTAATTGGGTTCTTTTAGTAGTTAGTTTTTAAATAGGATTAGGATGAAATGTATTATTTATTTATTTATTTTGATACGTTTTTTATTGTGTTTGAGTTTATTTCGTTATTTGTTTTGTTGTAATTGGTCTTTATTTATTTGGAACTGTTTGAACTTAAGACATGTTGAAGCTCTATTATGTGTTCTTAAAAAATTCTCTTGTCGACCTCTTTGGTAATAAATAATTTTTTAAAAAAATTATGTAATAAATCAAATTGTAAAATAAAAAATTAGCGGGTTCGCCCGCCAACTTGTTATTAAACAGGACGGATTTAACTTTTGAGTTCGAACACTTAAGTTGACCCGCCCCGCTCCACTTTTAGACGGGTTTAAACGTTGCGGGCCTAAACAGACAGACTGTCCATTTTACCTCCTCTAAATTTAAGGTACCACAACAACAACAAAAAAAAAAACACCGTCAAATAAAAATAAAACTAGGAGAAATTTAGGTCAAATTTTTTTAAATTATTGTAGGGGTTAAAATATCTAATTTATCTTTGGAAGTACTCATTGTTAATATAAAAACTAATTTATTTTTTAACTTTATTAAATGAGTAATATATTTGATTTACTCCATAGATAAAATACATTAATATAATGAATCTACTCTCTTATATTAAGAACTAGAGAAAATATATTTTGGTTTCACGAGATATGATCTATGATAAAGATAGAAGAGCAAAATAGAAATTAAGATGGGACCCTGAAACGTAGAGAGTAATTTGGACCCTACGATGTCTCACTTTCTTAGGATCATGATTCATGAGAAAACCGCACGTTCTGACAGCTCATGCGCGGTTAGTACATGGCACACCTGTCATTCTCTTCCTAACGTGCCACCAATCATCTTGCTTCTTCCTGCCACCTCATCCCAACACCATTCCCATTTTCTCAAACAGTTTTCTTTCTTAAAGACGTGCTTAAGAGTTGGTTTCAGAAACAGCTACATAAATAACCATGAAAATATCACAATCTTTAATCAAAATTTTTTTTGGTGATTAATGAATCATTACTTAACTAATAATAATTAAATAATTTGACACACAAGTATACACACAAAAATTATTATTAATGAGTTTGGTTAAATCAGCTCAGTTAATAGTTAACAAATGTCCAAATAGCAGATTTAAATCCATTAATCACTTATTTAACCGGTCAACCAAATATATAATACAGAGACACATTACCAAATAAAGAAATAGAACAAATGTCACTTATTGTTTCCTACTTTTGATTCACCCATGTACACCATAAAACTTCACTTTATTAAAAACAAGACAAGAAAACTAAAAATACAAGTTTGCTTCTAGTGACAGTTACACATTTTAGAAAGTGGAGGCAAAGTCATTGTAACAGTTACTATTAATCTATCTATCTTTTCCACTTCTTCATTAAAACAAACCTCTCTCTTTCTCATGTTTCCAAGGAAAACTTGAGTGTCACCATCACCAACTACACCTTAATTGCTTCAAACGATCACAATCCACCTCTTAATAAGCCATATTCTACTCACTTTTTTCTGCACTACCAATTTTCGTCATAATTCAATCTTTGAATTCGTTTACATCTTTCATGTTAAGCCTTGTTAATTAGCATAATGGGTTCTGAGAATGAGGTTGCTCTGGAGGAAGAGAAACGTGTAATTGGTGTGACAGATGAGAAGGATATAAACAAAGAAGATGCAAACGTTTGTGGTGCAGAAATTCAAAATGAGAATGAAGCATCTGAGCTTGAAAGCCACGTTTCTGGTGATGACACAGTTGAATCTGAAGCCTCAAAACATGCCAAGGTACTAAACATGATTGCAATCTATCTTGCACTTATACTTCAAATCAAAGGTGTGTGGTGTCTGTGTCGATGATTTAAAGGTTACAACACATTATACAAAGTAGAAAACTTGTTCTAATTAAATTTAACTTGGTTTAGGAAACAAAGAGTAGAGAAAGTGTTGCTTCCAAGAACAACAAAGTTGTCAAAGATAAATCAAATTTGAAGGGAACAACTTCAATATCTAGAAAACAAAGGCCAACACTTTCTCAGAGCTTTTCTTTCCCAGCCAAATCGACTGGTGGAGATTCAATGCAGAAAAGCATTGATGATTCTCTTGTTAAGACCAAAGTTAAAAATGCTAAAGCCTCCAATCTTCGTCATTCACGCAAGTCTACAAACTCTGTGGTAGTGATTCTTTTTCCTCGTTGTCTTTCTTTCTACTTGCTTCTTTGCTTCTAACATTGTTTTCGATGTTCATAACAATACTTCTATACTATGTGCTAGTTTGGAAGGTCTACTTCACTTGGTGCAGCCACCGAGAGTCACACATCTGATGCATCCCTGTAAGTCACAAACTATAGAGCCCAGACATTTGAAATTCGGTGTCCGACACGTGCCTGTGAAAGTGATTTTACCTAAATTTCTTTTAGTTTTTTCAAGTGATTTTACCTAAATTTCTTTTAGTTTTTTCATGTTGGCTAAAATGCTAATGAAAAACTTTGTATATGTGTATGTTACCAGAAGTGCTACTCTTCCTCAGAGAAACAAGTGTTCTGGATTTTCATCTAGATTGGAAATAAGAGCTGAAAAGAGAAAGGAGGTTGTAAATTTAACCTTACATTACACCCTATTTATGTTACTTTAACAAAATTTTAGATATTAATTTGTCAATCCTTTTTGGTTCTTTTTTTCTCAGTTTTTCTCAAAATTGGAAGAAAAAGTTCAAGCCAAGGAAGTAGAAAAATCCCATCAACAAGTCAAATCAAAGGTATATATGATAATCTTTTCTTTTTATCATTCATTTGCAGTCTTTTTTTTGATCAATTTATGGATGATGAGTTTACTCTTCATTCATCAAGTAATATTTTGTTATCAGGAAAACCAAGAGGCAGAGATCAAGCAATTGAGAAAGAGTTTGAGTTTCAAAGCCACTCCAATGCCAAGTTTCTATAAGGAACCACCTCCAAAAGTTGAGCTAAAGAAGGTATATAATTAATTCATCCCGTGTCCTCCTAGCATAGCCGTCTCAAATTTTTTGAGGCTCTATAGTGTAGTTTAGTCGCGTGACAAATTTTAGACTCTGCGCAGTAATCCATCTTGCATGTCCTCAAAGACGGTTCTGTCTCATAGTTCTAGCTGTATGCAATATTTTTTTCTTCCTTGCATTTATAATGTGATGCATCACATGTATCATGTATGTACCAATCAGATACCTACAACCCGGCCACGATCTCCAAAGCTTGGAAGGAACAAAGAGTCTTCTTGTTCAAGTCCACGTGAGAATCAACCGCAGAGTGATTCAGCCAAGGCAAAGATCATAAAGGGACATAAAGATGTGATTTTGAAGAAACCAATCATGAAAACTCAAGATATAGTGAAGTTTCAAGAAAATGAAACCAAAGGAAGCAATGAAGAACGCACAAATGAGTCTGAGACAGATCATTCTACAAATGATCATGCTCTGTCTTTAAATTCTACTGCACCTGAGATTGTATCATACGAGGCTTCTGTTGAAGTGTAGAAAGAAACATATAATTATGTAAGATTAGGGATCTGAGTTATTTATATTTTTGTTGTGAATATAAACCTTGGTTTCATCATAAACGTGTAATACAAGCAAGTAAAAGCTGTTTTTTTAACATTGTGTTGTTCTTTTTGATGTTGTTAAAATGAATTTTTAACTCATTCATTATTTAATAAGCCATTTGTGTATTTGGAACTTGATTTTCGTTTCTACATTGCATGCAGAGTGGTCCTCTTTGAACTTCATCGTAAGTTAACTACAACCTATTTTGTTTTAGTCCTTTAAAGCCAACATTCAGGCATTTATTCTGAAAACTTAAATTCTTTTAGAGTTTCTTTAATTAAATAGGTGCAATTGGTGCAAATGCACAGGTTGGAACCCCGGATATTTTATTTATTAATCTTTAAAAGGTAAAATTAAAGTTATTATAAATAATGAGAATTGATTTCAAAGTAAAAAAAAGAATCTCTATTTGAATGGGTAACGTAATATCCCAATTAACAATATTTAGAATATCCACTGAAATATTAAATATTTTTTGTACTCATACATCAGCAGTAGGTTCAAAAACCAACATAAGTACGTAAGATAATATAACGGTACATCAAATATGCATCACACCACAATCCAAGTTTAGTTCGTGGGATCGTCAATATTCTTGTGAGACTTATTTCTCATGTCATATAATTGGTATATCTTAAAAATTGTGGTTATGGTCAACTATTGTGGTTATGGTTAAAGATTATGATTAAAGATTGTAGTTGAATAAAGTCATAATTTGGAGGGAAAAAAAACAATGATTTTATAACAACTCTCATAATTTCGTAAAGATTAGCACCTATTAATAGATGTGCATTTCCCATTCATAACAATGAAGAAAAAGTATTGCAACATAACACAAAAGAAATTTCTACCGGTGTCCATGATTTTGTCCTTTGCTCTATCAGAAATTGATTGAACCGATGCATTTTCCTTTGGGAGGCTTTTGGATGTCCACTACGTTATTTGATTTTTGTTGTATAATTTACATTTAAAATGTATATATTATTAATGAAATAGAACTTTCAAATATTATTTAAAAAGATTCTTACACTAATTATCATTAAAATTATATTTTATCTAAATTAATAAAAATGTGTATGGTTAATTATTTATATAAATATATGCCTTATTTGTTAAAACAATAAAATATAAAATTTTGACTTAAATATTATAAAAAATAAAAGGAGAAAACATAGAGGTAAGTAACTTAATAATGAAAAAAAAGTATTAGTGACCGAAATTTCGATCACTGAATTTTTTTATGAATTAATTTATATAAAAACGATTATTTGAGACGAAAAATTATGGTCACAAAATATCAGTCTCTAATTCGGTGGCTAATTTTATTTAGCGACCGATTTAGTGACTTTAAAATGTTACTAACACGATGTCTAATTTTGGTGGCTAATTCGGACACTAGAGTGACAGAAAATTTTCAGTCACTAAAAGCGAATTTTCAAGTAGTGCTCTATATTTCCGCCGCGGCATACGGTTACTATTCACACGTATGGTTGTATACTTTTGCAGTAGTTGTTAACGTATACTAGAATTATTCTAGTGTGCGGTAAAAATATACAATATTGCTCACATATATTATGTTATTCACAGTGAATTTGTGTAAACCAGTTCAGGAAAAAAAAAAGGCTACCAATTTGAGATTGAAAAATTCAGTGGGAGTAATTTCTCCCTGTGGAAATTGAAGATGCAGGCAATCCCGAGGAAGGTTAATTGCTCACCAGCATTTAAAGGTAGACCTACAGATATAACTAATAAAAAGTGGAGTGAGATGGATGACAATGTTGTTGCCAATTTGCACTTAGCAATGGCAGATTCAGTTTTGTCAAGTACAGCAGAAAAGAAAACTACAAAGGAGATTTGTGATACTCTCATTCAACTGTACAGGGTCAAGTCAGTTCACAGCATAATTTTTAAAAAAAGGAGACTATACACTCTTCGAATGAGTGAATCCACTTCGGCGCCAGATCACATCAACAATTTGAATACATTATTTGCTCAACTATCTGCATCAGATTTCACAATAGTGAAAAATGAACGAGCAGAACTTCTTCTTCGGAGTTTACCAGATTCGTATGATTAACTCGTCATCAATATTACAAACAATAATATTGTTGACCGTCTATCCTTTAATGATGTCGTCAGAGTTATTCTTGAAGAAGAATTCATGCGTAAAAATAAGGAAGATCAGCAAGAAAGCTCAAAACGAATAGAAGCTTTGACGATTACGAGAGGTAGATCAACGAAATGTGGTCTTAGTGGGAGTCAAAATCGTGGTAGATCAAAATATCAAAGAAGAACAAACCTCAAATGCTACAATTGTGGTAAGAGAGAGCACTTGAAGAAAGAATGTTGGTTCAACAAGAAGAATGGTGAGAAGTCTTCTGAAGCAAGTACATCTCAAGGATGTATTGCTAGTACCTCCGATGATGGAGAAGTCCTTTATAGTGGAGCAACAGTTAGTACCAAAGGAAAAATTCAACTCACTGATGGTTGGATAGTAGATTCAGGAGCAACATGGCACATGACTTAACGACGAGACTGGTTTTGCGCTTATGAGTTTATCTCGAAAGGACATGTATTGATGGGGAATGACCATGCTTTGGAAATTGCTGGAGTTGGTACTGTCAAAATGAAAATGTATGACGGTACTATCTACACACTTCAAAATGTACGACATGTGAAAGGATTGACGAAGAATTTATTGTCTATCGGGCAATTAGATGACCTCGGATGCATGACCCATGTTCAAGGTGGGATCTTGAAAGTGGTGAAAGGTTCGCTAGTAGTGATGAAGGCAGAGAAGGTCGCTGCAAATCTATACATGATTTTGGGAGACACATTGAAAAAAGCAGATGCATTAGTAACAGTCGGAAGCTAAGAAGAAACAACGATGATATGGCATCACAGACTATGCCATATATCAGAACAAGGCTTGAAAGTTCTTGCAGAACATTATCTCATACCCGGGCTCAAGTCAGTAAATTTACCTTTCTGCGAGCACTGTGCGATAAGCAAACAACATAGACTAAAGTTTTCTAAGTCAACTTCTAGAAGCAAACACATACTAGACTTGATTCATTCTGATGTGTGGGAGTCATTGGAAATGTCCGTTGAAGGAGAAAAATATTTTGTATCATTCATTGATGATTACTCCAGAAGACTATGGGTGTCCCCAATCAAGAAGAAGTCAGATGTGTATTTGGTATTCAATAAGTTCAAAGTACAAGTGGAACTTGAAACTGGGAAAAGAATTAAGTTCTTAAGGACAGATAATGGAGGAGAACATATAGATGGTGATTTCCTGACATTCTGAAAGTAATAAGGTATTAAACGACAATTTATTGTTGCTCATACACCTTAGCAAAATGGTGTAGCAAAGCAGATGAATAAAACTCTCCTGGAGAGGACGAGAGTTATGCTAAAAACAACAGGATTGGCAAAGTCTTTCTAGGTAGAAGCTGTCAAAACGGTCCGTTACATGAAAAATCGATCGCCATCAACTGTGATTGATTTAAAAACATCAATGGAGATATGGAAGGGAAAACCGGGTGATTATTCTTCTTTGCATGTATTTGGATGACCTGCGTACGTGATGTACAACTCCCAAGAAAGAACAAAGCTGGACCCAAAATCCAGGAAATGCATATTCTTGGGTTACGCTAACAATGTGAAGGGGTATCGTCTATGGGAACCCTCCGCCCACAAGATTATTGTTAGCAGAGATGTAATCTTTGTAGAAAATTAACTACAAAAGAAGTAAAAATATGACAACATTATAAAGGAGACTATTATAGTGGAGATGGGAGAAAAGTCAGGAGAAAATGATTCTTCTAAAGCAGAGCCAGAGCACGAAGAACAAGAACTAAATGAGGTCAATAATGTAGATCCCAGAAGAACAACACGTCAGATAAGAAAGCCATCCTGGCACTCAGAATATGTGATGGCGTGTCATGATGCATACTGTATTCTATCAGAAGATGGAGAACCATCAACCTTTCACGAGGCATTAAATGGTTCAGATGCTTCTCTATGGATGGCAACAATGCAGGAGGAAATTGAAGCCTTACATAGAAATAACACATGGAAACTTGTTTAACATCCTAAAGGTCGGAAAGGCATCGGTAATAAATAGGTGTTCAAAATTAAGCGAGATGGTAATGATCAGGTGAAATGATATCATGCAAGATTGGTGGTTAAAGGATATGCTCAGAAAGAAGGTATTGATTTAAATGTGATATTTTCTCCAGTGGTAAGACTCACCACAATCAGAGTGGTCTTGGCGATGTGTGCTGCATTTTATCTAAATCTAGAGCAGCTAGATTTAAAGATTGTGTTTCTTCATGGAGAACTTGAAGAGGAAATATATATGCTCCAACCTGAAGGCTTTGAAGAACAAGGAAAAGAAAACTTAATTTGTAGGTTGACCAAACCTCGATACGGTTTAAAATAGGAGCCAAGGTGTTGGCACAAGAGATTTGATTCCTTCATCATGAGCCTTGGATACAACAGATTAAGTTCAGACTATTGTACGTATTACAAAAGGTTTGATGATAATGATGATTTTATAATTTTGATGTTGTATGTGGATGACATGTTGGTGGTAGGCTCTAACAAAGATCGAGTCTAAGAATTGAAGGCACAATTGGCTAGGGAGTTTTATATGAAGGACTTGGGATCAGAAAACAAGATGTTAGGGATGCAAATTCACCGGGACAGAAAAGATAGAAGGATTTGGATTTCCCAAAAGAATTATCTTCAGAAAGTCTTGCATCGCTTTAACATGCAAGACTGCAAGACAATCTCTACCCCGCTTCCTGTAAATTATAAATTATCCTCAAGTATGAATCCTAGCAATGAAGCATAGTGTATGCATCAGTGGTGGGAAGTCTTATGTATGCTATGATATGTACTATACCAGATATTGCTCAAGCAATTGG